GTCTGAATCAATTTCCCCTCCAGACACCATACTGTTGTTTCTTCTCAGCATGTAGTTGTCCATATCAATGGAGCGACAGTGTCTAATGGCATAACGTAATCTCTCAGCTAACACAGCCTGGGAGGAGTAGGGAGGTAATCTTAACTGGAAGAAACAAGTCTGGGCTGTTGGAAGACCATCTAAAGTCTATAATAATAAAAAATAAAAACAATAATAGTAATAATAACAATAACAACAACAACAACAACAATAATAATAATAATAAATAATAATAATAATAATAATAATGGCGGGTGGTAGCCAGAGGTGCTGTGCCTGTAATGGGACCAGTGCTGTATGTAAGTCCTGTTCTTGCCAAAAGAAAGGATCTAAGTGTTTTTCTTGTCTTCCCAAAAAGAAAGGAACCTGCCACAACCTCGTACAATCTACTACTACTACCTGCTCTCTACCATCTCCTTCCCCACGTGGTGACTGTCCTTCGCCGCCACTACTTTCTCCTGCTGGTGTGCCTTCATCCAGTGCTCATAGAGATGTCTCTGACTTTGACCAGTACATGATACGTGCCTATGGGAATACTCTGTGTTATACTACAGTACCAGACAGTGAGTGGTCCCGCCGCTGGTCGGCCATTACTCACTTGAAAGGAAGATTATACCATGTCCCTGGAGGATCCATTGGTCGGAAATATGTTGATCTACTGTCTGAAGAAGTTGCACATCTTGCTGCTGGAAACTATCCCTCTGAAAGACTGATGATTTTCTCTGCTGTAATATTACAAAGAACCCGTATGGTAAGGAAAGGGACTGATATAAGAGAATTGATGGAGAGAAGGTTGTTGAAATGGACAAATGAAGACTTTGATAGTTTAGTGAACGAAGCTGTTGCGTGTGACAATACTCTCAAGACCCAGACCTATAAAGAGGACACCGATCATTTGGTCACTGTTTTTACAAGACTGATGCTGCAAGGCAAGACTAGAGCAGCTATGCGATGGCTCTCTGAGAAGTCAAAGGGACTTGTACTACCTTCTAGTAAAGTAATTGAAACTAAGACCCGAGATGGTCCCTCGTCTAATATGACAGTTTTAGATACCTTAAAGTTGAAACACCCAGATCCCACATGTCCACCCGAGTCTGCTCTGATTAAGTGTGATACTCTCCCTCC